GGGGATCCCACCTTGAGGCCCGGCATCCCCAGGAACCCCCCAAAACAGACTTTATTTCATTCCCTCATCATAACCAACTCCCAATGCAAATTTCAGTATCCCCATTTCTTGGGTGAAAAACAGAAGCTCAGAGCAGTAAAGGAACAGGCCGAAGATCTGAGACCAGATCTCCTGAGTCTCCACAGTGAAGCCTGAAGTGACAGGGGCATCACCATCCCAGGGTGAAGGTGACTCTGCCTGTGAAAAGGTGCTTGTAGGGCAGCGGGACGTGGCCTGCCTCTCTAACCCCTCTCCTCCAACTCGGGGAGCTTGAGGGGAGGGCCACTTGGGATCCTTTCCTTAGAAGCCCCCTGCATAGGGCAGACCACCCACAGGAGGAGAAACTGCTGGCATCACCCCTCCCTTGTCCCTGTTGGGCGCTATTGCAAGGGAGGGAGGATTACAAAAGGGGATAGAGGAGGAGGAAGCGGAGTGGGGAGAGGAAGGAGGAAAGAGGAAGAGGAAGCCGGGCGCAGTGGCTCACTCCTGTAATCCCAACACTTTGGGAGGCCAAGGAAGGAAGATCATTTGAGGCCAGGAGTTTGGGACCAGCCTAGGCAACATAGTGAGACCCCATCTCTATTAAAAATTTAAAAATTAGCCAGATGTGGTGGCACATGCCTGTGATCGCAACTACTTGGAAGGTTGAGGCTGAAGCATCACTTGAGCCCAGGAGTTTGAGGTTATAGCAAGCTATAAACGCACCACTGCACTCCAGCCTGGGCAACAGAGGAGACCTCGTCTTTATTTAAAAAAAAAAAAAAAGAAGCAGAAGAGGAAGGGAGAAGGGGAAGAGAGGAGAAGGAAAGGGGAATGTGATTTATAAACCGTATCCCTTTATTCCTCTTTCTCCATCCTCACAGGATCTATGAGTTATTCAAATCCCACTCCAAAAAGGAGGAAACTAAGGTTCACCTGGATGGAAATTGGCACAGCAGGGACTTGGCCTCACACCTGGCTGTCCCCACCAGCTAAAATATGGTGTTTAAACGCCCTCACGGGAGGGTTTTCTGATTACGCTGCTTTTTCATTTTAATAGTAACATCTTGGCCGGGTGCGGTGGTTCAGGCCTGTAATCCCAGCACTTCGGGAGGCCGAGGTGGGTGGATCACGAGGTCAAGAGATCGAGACCATCCTGGCCAACATGGTGAAACCCTGTCTCTACTAAAAATAAAAAAATTAGCTGGGCACAGCCGCAGGTGCCTGTAATCTCAGCTACTTGGGAGGCTGAGGCAGGAGAATCGCTTGAACCCAGGAGGCGGAGGTTGCAGTGAGCCGAGATTGCGCCACTGCACTGCAGCTTGGTGACAGAGCGAGACTCTGTCTCAAAATCGTAATAATAATAATAACATCTCCCACTGATTCAGTGTGGATCCTGGGCAGAGCCCCCACTAAGACTGTCACGTGAACCATGAGGTAGGCGTTATAATGAGACCCATTTTACAGACAGGGACACTGCGGAGCCTGGAGGGAAAATCCCTTGTGAAAGGCCTGACAGGGGGCAACGTTGTCTTTCTGGGCTGGTATCTGGGTTCCTTGGGGACCAGAGAAACTATGGGAAATGACCTAGCCGGTCTGACTCCTTCTTACGGTTGAGGAGAATAAGGCCCAGAGAGGGTGAGTGGCCTGCCCAGGTTACACAGCCAGTCATCTGGAACCTCCTGCTTGGCCTACAGAAGCCAGCCCCAAGGTGACCCTAACATTTGTGGGTGTTGGGGTGGGAGGCACTAAAGGGCAGGGTCAGTGGGACCTCCTCAGCCCGGGGGATGGATCCAGAAAGTTCCTGCAAGCCCTCATGCCTACACAGGTGCTTTCCCAGCCCACGCCCGACCTTGGGCTGAACCCTGCAGCTGAAGGTGTCCCTCTCAGCCCCACGGGGTCAGCCAAGGAGGCCCTGTGTGTCCAGGACCACAGCTGGAGCCCGCTCTTCGGACACCAAACATCTGGCTGCTGGCTTCCGGAGCTACAGACAGGCCATGGGGAGGGAGGCCCCTTGAGAACGCCTCTGTCTCGTCTTCCCCAGGAGGCTCCAGGCCAGGATCTGCTCACACAGAAAGGAAGAAAACGTAAGTGAACACAGGAAACACCGTGCATGTGCTTTGCTGGTGGGGCCAACCCTGTCACTAGCGATGTGGCCTCAGTGCGGGGGCGAGGGGTCACCTCATCTCAGGGAGCCTCAGTTCCTCCTCTTGCAATTTGGGGACCATAAGATCCTACCCGCAGATTCAGATCATGCTGAGAGCTGACAGAGAGTAAGTGCTCAGTAAATGGTCATCGCCAATATCACCAGTTTTAGCTAGAGATCCTCCATGCGTGCACCCTACGACGCATGCTCTAAGCTCCACTTCTAGCGCAGAGAGTCCGAGGTCAAGGAAAAACACTTTACCGGAGATGAAACTGTGACGAGAGAGGCAGCATGGTGTGGAAAATGAAAGCACAAGGGCTTGAGCTCTGCTGGTCCTGGGTTCAAATCATGTTTCTATCTGTCAAAATCTTATATCCTCGGGCAAATTACCTACAGGACTGAGACTCGACTTTCTCATCTGTAAGATGGGGATGGCGCCTCCATCGTAAGATTACCTGACAGCCGGGCTCAGGGGCTCATGCCTGTAATTCCAGCACTTTGGGAGGCTGAGGCGGGAGGATCGCATGAGCCCAGGAGCTCGACACCGGCCTGGGCAACATGGAGAAACCCCATCTCTACTAAAAATACAAAAATTACCCATGCCTCTAGTGGCAGGCGCCTGTAGTCTCAGCTACTCAGGAGGCTGAGTTGGGAGGATTGCTTGAGCCCTGGAGATTGAGGTTGCAGTGAGCCGAAATCACGCCACTGCACTCCAGCCTGGGTGAGAGTGTGACCCTGTCTCTAAATAAATATAAATAAACAAACAAATAAATAAATAAATAAAAGATTGCCTGATAAACAAGGTACTGACTGTTAGAGTTCAGGGCTCTGGGTAAATCTTGAAGGTCATTATCATTACTATAATTTTTGTTGTAACTGTTGTTTTATGTAAGTCCCAGGCTCTGCCCTGGGCTGACTGCTGGGATATAAAGGTGTCTCCGAGCTAGTTCTTGCCCTCTGGTCAGGCTGTTCCAATTTAGTCTGGACTCAGTTTCCTCCACTGTAAAATAGGAAGAATGCTTTGGCCAAGGTCGGCATGCCTCAGCACCTCCCTCCATGCCCTGTCCTGATACGGAAGAGGAGCCAAAGGTGGCCTCTTGGCAAAGGCTACATTCCCTGAGGAAGAAGGCAGGAGACAGAGGTGGGCGTGGTGGGGGAGGTCGGAGACACTATCCATCTTCTGGGCCTGCTCCACGTGCCTGCACGGTTATTAGCACCGTGAAGAGACGATAATGGTACTCATCAGTCTGGGAGCCACATCGCTTTCCAGCTGTCTCCCCTGTGGCCCACCCAGATGCCACGGATACAAGGGAGGAATTAGGGACAAGGCAGGTGCTGTTCTTTACTGACCCTGGGGAGCCTGGGACAGTCCATGCCATGACCAGGCATCCTCCACCGAGCTTGTCCAGGAGACACACTACGGCTCAGGAGAGAGTGTTCAGATCCTGGCTATGCTTCTCCTCTCTGTGTGGCCGTTCTTCTCTGATCCTCAGTCTCCTCATCGGTAAAATGGAGGTCCCATTAAGGATTGGTGCAATAGCTCTGGTAGTGCCAGGACCGTGGTCAGTGCTCAGGAAACAGGAGGTGGGTTTGAATTACTTGGATTTTCTTCCACCTCTGCAACCCCTGAGACAGCAAGACCAGGCCTTCCTCTTCTCCCCTCAGCCTACTCAACTTGAAGGTGATGAGGCTCATTTAATCCATAGTAAATATATTTTCTCTTCCTTATGGTTTTCTTAATAACATTCTCTTTTTCCTTAGCTTACTTTATTGAAAGACTATGGTTTCCAGATCACACCTGGAAAGGCAAATAATGTGGATCTCATGATCCAAGTTTGGTGATAGATTGGTAATGGCTGCCAGGAACACTAGGTTGGGCAGATTTTAAAGCAGGATGTCCAAAACATGTGTTATCATCCAAAATCTGTATTATCCCACAGTTTATGCTCTCAGTAAGGGTTCGGGTCAACATTAGGCTATTGGTTGTTAAGTTTTGGGGAGTAAAAAGTTATATGCAGATTTGTGTCTGTGCGTGGCTGGGGACTCAGCACCCTTAATCCCTGCGTTGTCTGAGGGTCAACCGTATTGATAATGCACCTCCTCTGCAGACTGAGCAGGGTTTGAAAGAACGCTAAATGTGCCCCATTAGCATGGAGCAGAAAGGAGCGATGGCGAGAGGAGGTCCTCAGATCAGGACAGGTTCAGGTTCGTATGCCAGCTCTGCCACTCGCCACAGTGAAGAGGTCCTCAGATCAGGACAGGTTCAGGCTCGTATGCCAGCCCTGCCACTCGCCACAATGCGGACTCCATCAACCTCTCTGAGTCTGCTTCCCTGTCTGTGAAATGAAAAGATCATCCCCCCCTTGTAGAATGTGGGGAACATACAGAAGAACAAGTTAGTATAAATTAACATGAGAACCATCCTGGTATGCATTAGGAGCTGGATGAATGTTTATTTTCATCCCTTCACACTAGAGTCTGGCTTTTTATTCATTATTATTATTTTTTTTTTTTTTGAGACGGAGTCTCGCTCTGTCGCCCAGGCTGGAGTGCAGTGGCCGGATCCCAGCTCACTGCAAGCTCTGCCTCCCGGGTTCATGCCATTCTCCTGCCTCAGCCTCCGGAGTAGCTGGGACTACAGGCGCCCGCCACATCACCCGGCTAGTTTTTTGTATGTTTTTTAGTAGAAACGGGGTTTCACCGTGTTAGCCAGGATGGTCTCGATCTCCTGACCTTGTGATCCGCCCGTCTCGGCCTCCCAAAGTGCTGGGATTACAGACTTGAGCCACCGTGCCTGGCCTTTTTATTCATTATTAAAGAAATATATCACCTTCTGTTGGATGGGACAATGACTTTATTCACAGATAGCCACTTTTGATTGTGCCCATTTCACAGATGTTTCAGATGGTGCCAAAGCAGGGGAAATAGCTCAGGAGCTCCAGGCTTGGGAATCCCAGCCTTGCCATGAATTCTTTGGGTGACCTTAGGCAAAGTTCATTCCTCTCTGATTCTCAGTTTCCACGTCTGTGAACTGAAGAGGTAGAGATTGTCAGTCATTAGCATTTCCACACAAGATAAAAATTCTTCGTTCCCCCTTCATTTTACTCTGTGGCCATCCACTGAGTGCCAGGCCCTGGGCCAGCCACTAGGAATCCTCAGATAAATTAGCCAGCAAGAGATTTGGGGGTGACATTGGCAGCCCCCCTCTAGCCACTCTAAATGTGATGGTGTCAGAAAATGCATTTGAACCAAGGAAGGCCGTTACCCAGATAGTGGAGCCCCCTCTGTAGACTCCACTGATTCCAGACTCTCAACTCCCACATGGCAAGGGCCTACCCCATTCAGTCCTTCAAGGAGCCAGCAAGGACTTCTAAAGCCATTTTTCTGAGTCAGATACTTGCATGCTCTTTCTGAGGACATCTCGTGAGATGTGAGGCCTGCAGCTTTCCTTGTGAAGGATGCCATGCAGAGACCTGCTGTCCTGGAGGCTCAGAAATACAGAGGAGTGGGTCGCTCCCTGAAGATGGTGTGGCCGCCCAGGCATGGGAGGGGATGAAGAAGATCGAAACTAGCTAGCTCTGGTTTCTCACCAGATGTGGCAGAACAGGTGGTTTGGATTATGTGTCTTTGAAGGGACACATGATCACACCTGGAAAGGCAAATAATGTGGATCTCATGATCCAAGTTTGGTGATAGATTGGTAAAGCCTGCCAGGAACACTAGGTTGGGCAGATTTCAAAGCAGGATGTCCAAACGCCCTGGTCTTTGAGGGCCATCCAGTTTACGCCTGTTGTTCAGACATCATTATTAATCAAAATTATTGCCCCTTTCTAACTTTCAAAAGTGTCCTGGTTTGCACAGTAAATTATATGGTCACCCTATTTTGAGGCTGTGTCCGGCTTAGTGGGAATAATTCTGTGATCACTTAGCAACGTCTGCAGAAAGCATAGAAAGAAGAGTAGGGGGACCAATGTCATGCAACTGCCTTCCTTAATCCCAGAATCAGGTATCTATCCTCACAGGTAAACATTCTATCAGTCTGATTTCACTTCCTTAAAAGAGAGCCCTGAGAATGACACCATGAAAAAGAGAAAGAGAGAGGTGGGAAATAAGTTTAAAAAAAAAAATAATAAGACAACCTTAACTCATATTATCCATCTCAGGTTTAAAGAGGAAAATTCTAATTCAGGTCCCTTTTATAAGACTACCTAGATGAGAGTGGCTTACATTTCCCTGCAAGTGGCCACTAAGTGGCAGGGAATGCACAATCTAATGAAGCTTCCTCCAGGTTGAGGATGTGAGGTTTCCCTCAAAAATGTCAAAGAACTCCTGAGGCCCCATTGGGGTTTCCTTAGGTTGGGGACTACTTGTTCTCTTCAGAGCCCTTGGAATTTTCCCATCTCCACGACCCAAAGACAGTACTCACACCCTGCGCCCTTCTCTTCTCTGACTCCAACCTGATACTAGAGCTACTCTCTTTCCTACAGCAATCCCTGGCCTATATCTGTGCTAGAACCCTCTCTGCCTGCCATGAAAATGCACTACCCAGATCTAATTAACAGTACTGACTCTCTGCCACTATGTTTGCACCAAGGCCAGGCTTCCCATGAGCTACTCCCAGATAGGGAATGAGTCTGGTGGATATACTGAGGTCGGCCCAGTTTTGCAAGACACAGACTCCTCTGTTGTGTGACTTTGGCTCAAGGAGTCCCCATTAGTCTTACTGAAACTTTTTCTTAGAACTGTGTGGCCACCTGAGACTCTTCCTTCACTTCCTCTGCTTCCTTCCCCCTCTCCTGGCACAGGAGTCAGACCAGCATCACTGCCTGGCAGCCATTCCCACTTCCTCCTTCAGCACCCTCCTCTTGGTATTCCCATCTTTCTGTTTCCAAGAGGATGTGGTTGTCAGAATAGGGGTCCCCCAAAGATATCTACACCCTAATCCCCGGAACCTGTGAATGTATTACCTTCCATGGCAGAAGGGACTTTGCAAATATGCAGATAAGGATTTCAATATGGGGAGATTACCCTGGATGATGAAGGCAGCCCCAATCTCATCATGAGAGTCCTTATAAGGAGGAGGCAAGAGGATCAGGACAAGAGAAAGGAGTTGTGACAACAGAAGCAGAAGTTGGAGTGATGCCCTTTAAAGGTAGTGGAAGGGACCATGAACCAAAGAATGAAAGTGGTCTCAAGGTGCAAGAAAAGACCAGGAACAGATTCTCTCTTAGGGAAGAAACAGAGGAATGCAGCTCTGCTGACACCTCAATCTTAGTCTGTAAGATGCATTTGAAGTTATGACCTCTAGAACTAAAAAAAAAAAAAATTGTATGGTTTAAAAGTCACTAAGATTGTGGTAATTTGTTGTAGCAGCAATGGAAAACTTATACAGAGGACATGGACTAATACACCTTTTAATGCTGTACAAAACCTCAGAGGGCAGTGACAATTCTCCATATTTTATAGATGAGGATACTGAGCTTCAGGGGAAGAGGGCTTCCTGAGTTATCTTAATGTGCTGGGCTTGGGATTTGGGCCCACCTGGTTTCAGAGGATCATGTCCATCACTGTCTAGCTGCATGGGCCCCTAATCTTGACTGAGGGTCTGGCCTGGACATCCCTGCCATTCTCATGTACTCTGTAATTTTCTCCCTCTTCTTGGTCTAGTTATCTGCATTCATCTGTTCCTCAAACATTTGCAGCCAGGCAAAGAAGGAATAAGACATAGACCCAGCTCCAAAAGTTGGTGGAAAATTGCAATCCAGAGAAAAGAGTAAGGACGATTGGAGACAGCTCTCTCACAAGGTGCACCAGGCTTTGACTTAAGTGATAAGTGATAAGTGGGAGTGATCCAGATGACAAGGGGAAGGAAGAGTGTTCCAGGCAGAGAACAGCATCTGTGAAGGCTCCAAGGAAACTGAGGCACTGTGGTCCTCCTCTGGGCTCCCAGAGTCCTCTGTGCTGCTCTGATCACACTGCTGATATGTCTGGGCTATAATTGTCTCTATCATGAACATCTCCATTACTGGAGACTCTGTTAATGCATTGGCCCTATCACAGCCTCATTGTTGTGCTCAATATATGGAACAAATCCTGGCACAGACTAGATGGTAGACTCGTTAGGTTAATGGGGGTATGAGTGTTTGGGATAGATGGATGAATGGATGAATAGGTGGATGGATGGATGGATGGATGGATGGATGGACGGATGGACGGATGGATGGATGGATGGATGGGTAAATGGATGGGTGGGCGAATGGGTGGGTTGAGGAGTGAATAGATGAGTGGCTGAGTGGATGGATAAGTGAGTGAATGGATGGGTAATTACGTGGATGGACGGATGAATGAATGGATGGATGGATGGATGGATGGATGGATGGATGAGTGAAAAGACAGAAGTGTGGATGGATGGATGGATGAGCAAAAAGACAGAAGTGTGGATGGATGGATAAATAAGTGGACGAACGGATGGACGGATGGATGGATGGATGGATGGATGGATGGATAGGCTGTTGAATGAGTGGTGGAAGGGTGAGTAGACGGATGGTTGAGGGAGGAGTTAGGAGAATGAGTAGATGGATGGTTGGATAAATAGATGGCTAGATGATGGGTAAGTAAAAACTAAATATGTGAGTGGGTGAATGGTTAGAAGGGACATCAAACAAAGAAACAGCAAAGTAACAAATAAAACCCCCAAGATTTGCTGGTGGCAGAAAACTGCCGCATCTTCCCTCCAGATCCCTCCAAACAATATCTTCAGAGCCTGAGCACTGCTCTGGGGGATTCTACAGATGGCATAAGAGTGCATAAGGGCCAGACATGGTGGCTCACACCTGTAATCCCAGCACTTTGGGAGACGAAGGCAGGAGGATCACTTGAAGCCAGGAGTTTGAGACCAGCTTGGACAACAAAGTGAGACCTTCATCTCCATACCTTTAAAAAAAAATTAGCCAGGAGTGAGTGATGCTGATTGCCTATAATCCCAGCTACTCAGGAGGTTGAGGTGGGAGGATTGCTTGAGCCCAGGAATTTGAGGCTGCAGCAAGCTATGCTTGCATGACTGCAATCCAGCCTGGGAGACAGAGACTGTCTCTAAAATATTTTTTAAGTAAATAAGCCTGGTTTCTTGCTTGTTTTTTACATCATCCCCACTACCCCACAGGACAGGATGTTCCCGTGATATCCCCTATGCCTGAGAACACAGGTCCTGAACATAGATGTCACTGCCACTTAAAACCCAGTGGCCTGGAGTAGAGGACCATCTGACTGGGATTCTCCCAGGCACTTCAGAGGCAAAATGAGGTGTTCTGCAGAATCTGGAGCTGGGGAGCCCTCTCAGGAAACAGTCTTCAAACACAAACAGCCAGCCCTGAGTTCTAGGATGCAAACCACCAGCCCAAATAGGCTTCACCAGAGTCTGCTCACTGATGCTCAGGTGCAGCTGCTTATCCAACCACTGGTTCCTTCACTCAATCAATACCCATCCATTCATCTGTCTGTCCATTCATCTGTTCATCCAGCCAGCCAGCCAGCCATTTTATTTTGGTGTTTATTTGGTGCCTGCTATTTTCTGGGTGTCATAAAAATTCCATTTGACACCCCAAAATGCCAAGGACTTAGGGAACCATAACTCAACTTGCCAATTAGACAAATTGGAACAGGGACAGCCAGAGAGAAGGGAATGTGATCTCCGGTTCTCCCATCTTCTCTGCCCCCCAAGACTAGCAGGGACTAGCAGGAAGGTGGCCCAGCTCATGAGGCTGACCAGGACTCACTAACCTGGCCACTTGCCCTTAGCATTTAGCACATGCACAGTCTTTCAACCCAATTCACACCACAGTGTGAATGACTAAGTACTTCTAACCCTGGGATGTTTTCCATTGCAAGTAAAAGCTGCTTAACCCCAGGGCTTCTCTGGCAAAGCCTGCCTTGGATTTCAGACTCAAAAGCCTAATTAAGAAAAAACTTGAGACACAATCTCAGTGGGGGTGTCATGATGGGGGAGAGAGCCTGAAAAGTCCACTTTGCATA